CCATTTTAATCTTTTTGGTGTATAAGTTGTAGGTTTATCTGCATCAATTTGTAATAAAGTAGTTTCTTCTTTAAGAGTTGGAGTCATTATAAATTTGGGATTTAAATGTGAAGATAAAGGTCTATAATAAATTCTATATATTATTGCAAAATTCTTTGTATGTTTTTCAAATTCATTTCCTTGTAGATGAATATCTAATATGACTGAATTTAGAATATGAGGATCTGTTAAATCTAATGAAAAGTTTGGAGTACAGTTAAAATATATTGGTCCATTACAAACATTTGTTTGAATCATAGAAAGTAAAGAAGTCTTATATCTTTTTAATCTCGTATCTCTTAATGCTAAATATATTGGAGCATCTACTCCTAGATGGAATAAAGATTTTACAGCAATTTGTATTAATCCTATATGAATGTATCGATATCCTTTACTTAAATATTTTTGAATTGTGTTATGATTTAATAGTTGAATAGATTGATATTCTTCTTGGATAGATATTGTTTCTTCATGAGTTTTGACTGATAAAGCAGTTTTGAAATCTAAAGGGCCTATTCTATAAATATGTTCTATTCTTTCTTCTGGAATAGTCCAATCCGAATTATTTATAGGCATATGATATTCATGACTTTGAATTACATGATCTTGTCTTGAATTAGATCCTATTTTTAATTGTCTAAGAAATGCAGCCATGTTTAATATTTTAATTAAAGTTTTACCTAGACGGGAACAACCGAGCACTATGCCTGGAACATCCTTCTCCGGACTTACCAACGGACTAACAAGGCATCAAGTCTTACCAACGTTTTCAGTAAAAGTTTAATAAAATATGAAAACATAAAAGCATAAACTAGTCAATTTTAAATAGAGACTAAATTCAAAATGAGAAAATGTAAATCAAAGGGTAAATATGCGTATGCATATAAAAGGGAGTGTGGCTCTGATACCACTTCTACCCAGGACTTTGCAATTTAATCATATACGTTAACTAAAAGCAAATATTGTAGGGACTTAGAATGTAATAAATGAAACTTACTTGACTTTTGAGAGTACACAATCGGAAGCTTGGATTCAACAATGGAAACTTGCCAAACTTTTTGACAGAATGATACAAGAGGTTTGAATATTTAGTACAAGGCTTTGACTATCTATGGAAATATGTAGGAGTAGTGATTACAAAGAGTTTTTCTAACTTTGCTCTGATGGGTTTTTTCGCCGATGCCTGTCTTCTGAATCTTGAATCTATTTATAGAGGCTCGGTTCTGCATTTCATCTTCATTTGAATTTCAATTTTGCTTTCATTTGTTGTGGCCGACATTCTTTTTTAAAAGTCGTTTGGATTTTGTCCACCGATGAGATCATCAAAAGGATCAAAAGTAGATTCGGATGATCCTGCTGGCTCCTCTATTTTGTCTTCTTCTTTTGGCTTTTGTAAATAATTCAGATATTCTTTCAGCATCTCGGGATTCTGCATGATTTGCTTTATTAAAAAGTTACTGGCTGTTTCTTCGGATGCCATTTCCGTCACTTTTTCTTTGTCTCTTTTTGGAGTGAGTGGAGTTGGTGTAGTGGTTGGAATGATTGTTGACTGTCTTGTCTCCTTTTGAGAAGTGGTATCAGAGCCACACTCCCTTTTATATGCATACGCATATTTACCCTTTGATTTACATTTTCTCATTTTGAATTTAGTCTCTATTTAAAATTGACTAGTTTATGCTTTTATGTTTTCATATTTTATTAAACTTTTACTGAAAACGTTGGTAAGACTTGATGCCTTGTTAGTCCGTTGGTAAGTCCGGAGAAGGATGTTCCAGGCATAGTGCTCGGTTGTTCCCGTCTAGGTAAAACTTTAATTAAAATATTAAACATGGCTGCATTTCTTAGACAATTAAAAATAGGATCTAATTCAAGACAAGATCATGTAATTCAAAGTCATGAATATCATATGCCTATAAATAATTCGGATTGGACTATTCCAGAAGAAAGAATAGAACATATTTATAGAATAGGCCCTTTAGATTTCAAAACTGCTTTATCAGTCAAAACTCATGAAGAAACAATATCTATCCAAGAAGAATATCAATCTATTCAACTATTAAATCATAACACAATTCAAAAATATTTAAGTAAAGGATATCGATACATTCATATAGGATTAATACAAATTGGTGTAAAATCTTTATTCCATCTAGGAGTAGATGCTCCAATATATTTAGCATTAAGAGATACGAGATTAAAAAGATATAAGACTTCTTTACTTTCTATGATTCAAACAAATGTTTGTAATGGACCAATATATTTTAACTGTACTCCAAACTTTTCATTAGATTTAACAGATCCTCATATTCTAAATTCAGTCATATTAGATATTCATCTACAAGGAAATGAATTTGAAAAACATACAAAGAATTTTGCAATAATATATAGAATTTATTATAGACCTTTATCTTCACATTTAAATCCCAAATTTATAATGACTCCAACTCTTAAAGAAGAAACTACTTTATTACAAATTGATGCAGATAAACCTACAACTTATACACCAAAAAGATTAAAATGGAATGAAATAACAATACCAAGTGAATTTGAAATAAAAAATCCACAAACTGCAAGAAATATAGAACAAACTGATGTAGAAGATATTATAGAAAAACAAGATGGAAGTACTCTAATAAGATTTAAATCATTAAGAGAAAGACCAGAATCATCATATTCATGGTTACCGGCTAGACGTTCAAATTATGAGTCAACTGAAATTAATTTCCCAATGGAAAATACCTCAAACTTTAGATATAAAACTCCTATTCCAGAAGTTATAAATAATCCACAACAATCTGAATATTCTCCAACACATTCACAAATGAAAGTAGGAGAAATTAATGTTATAAGTAGACCATATAAAATAAATCATAAATATTTACAAGAAGATTTTGATGATGAAGAAAATACAGAAAAAAGAATTTGGTTTTTTCAATTAAAATCAGATTATAAAGAAAAATTAATTCTAGAATGGAAAAATGAATTAGATAGACAAAAATTTGATTTTCCTTTTTTCACATGGTTATCATTTTACACATCAAAATTAGGAATAAATAATATATATGATACACCTCAAATAAATGTTCAAACTAATTTATATAAAAAATGGAAATTAAAAGATGAACAAATTGTAACATCAATACGCCCTCCATTACAAGAAGTAAAAATTAATATAGGACAAGGAGATATAATTGCCTCACCTTTTAAAACAGGTAGAGAAGCTGAATCAAGTACAAATAATTCAATAAATTTAGAAGATCTTAAAAAAGTTTATCAACAAAATAATTATACAAATCAAATTCTTCATATAATTTCTCAACATATGGAAGTATTAAATACAAAGATAGATACATTAAAGAAACCAGAATTAAAATTCCCTAATGATATTTCAGCACCTCATTTTCAACCTAGAAGTCTGACAAGAGAAAAAGAACAAGATTTAGTACAAAGTATTAATAATCAAAAAATAGTAAATAATACAGATAATATATTAAATAAAATATCTCAATCATTACAAAATCTAACAGTAAAACCTTCAACGCCTAAGATAAATACCTTAGAAAAAATAATAGAAGAAAATTCAACAGAAGAATTAGAAAATACCTCTGAAGAATCAATAAATTCAGATAGTGAAGAAGATATAATTTTACCAATAGAAAACCAATTTGAAGAAACAGAAGGTAATCAAATAAATAGAATTAAAAGAAATAATAAAAATAATTGGAAAATGGTAAGTTCAAAAAATTATTATCCTAGACCAAGTCCTCCAGATATTCAATATGAAGAAAGATCAAAATTTAGAACTACTAAATATGATGGCGATTCAATATATGAATGGAATATCGATGGCAAAGCTGAATATGAAGTATTGAATAATTTACAAGAAATGGGAATGGCTAGATTAGCCTATAAAATTAAAAACATTCAAGAGAGAAATATTGCAACATTATTAGTTTCAGGATTTACTGGGCAATTAAAAAATTGGTGGGATAATGCATTAATATTACAAGACAAATTATCAATATTAGAACATACGCAAGAAATTGAAGATGATCAAGGAAATATTCAAATACAGTCTTGTAACAATAGTAATGTATTTCATAGGAAATCCTAAAGAAGAATTAAATTCAAATAAAACATTCTTAACAAATTTAAGATGCCCAACTTTATCAGATTTTAGATGGTATAAAGACATGTTTTTAACAAATGTATTAAGAAGACCAGATTGTAATGCTTCATTCTGGAAAGAAAGATTCATAACTGGATTACCAAGCTTATTTTCACAAAGAATAATGGATAATTTACAATTTATCGCATAGTTTCTGCAGAAATACCTGATGAAGCACAAAATAAGCATCTTTTTAGAATGGTCAAGAAACATATGATGCATGGGCCATGTGGTGAGAAAAAACCTGATAATGTATGTATGCAGCGTGCATCAAAGAAGTCTTGCAAGAATAATTATCCAAAAGCATGGGCAGAAAAAACTACACATTCTCAGAATTCATATCCAACATACAAAAGAAGAAATGATGGGAAAAAAATTTTGGTTCGGGGACACTACTTAGATAACAGATGGGTAGTGCTATACAATGCTTATCTGTTGGCTAAATTCAATTGTCATATAAACGTAGAAATTTGCTCCACAATTAAGGCTGTGAAGTATGTGTATAAGTATATATACAAAGGCCATGCAAGGAGACATTTTCAAGTGAATTCAGATGATGGAGCAAATATTGTTGATGAAATCAAAGAATATCAGTCAGCACGGTGGGTATGTGCAGCTGAAGCAATGTGGAGAATATACAGATTTCATCTTTATGAAATGCAGCCTGCTGTAATACAACTTCAACTCCACCTAGAAAACTTTCAATCTATGCTATTTCGACCAAATGACAGTCATGACAATATATTAAGTAACAGTTTTGCAAAAAAAAACTATGCTTACCGAATTTTTTCGAATGAATGCTACAGATGATTTTGCAAAAAGTCTCAAATGTACCTACAAAGAGTTCCCTGAGCATTTTGTGTGGTATCCAAGTTCCAAATCTTGGCAACCTAGAAAACAAAAAGATTCTATAGGCAGAATTGTTGCAGCAAATCCCCTTGAAGGTGAACGGTACTTCCTAAGACTCCTTTTACTGCAAGTTAGAGCTCCAACTTCTTATGATGATTTAAAAACTGTAAACGGAGTACATGTTACTACATTTCGCGAAGCAGCTGTGCTTAGAGGATATTTAGAATCAAATAACTCACAAGATGAATGTCTAGAAGAAGCTGCCGTTTATCATATGCCATATAGCCTAAGAAGGTTGTTTGCAACATTGTTGGTATATTTTACCCCCTCAAACCCAAGATCCCTATGGCTGAAATTTGAAGAATCATTGTCTAAAGATTACAATAGACTCCCAAACATAACCAAAAGTGATATTCAATTTAAAGATCTGCATCAAATAAGCAATTTTTTAGAGTCTATGGGTCGTAATATAAACAACTATGGACTGGTGCCAAGAGTACTCAAATTTCATGACTCAAACACAGATGCAAGAGATACAATTAGTGAAACAGAGATTAAAGTTTCAGAGGATGACTTGGTATCAATTACTAAACTTAATCTTGGTCAAAAAGCAGCCTTTGATACCATAATGCAGGCATTATACATTAAAGGAAAAGGATGTTTCTTTATAGATGGACCAGGTGGCACTGGAAAAACATTTCTTTATCGAGCATTATTAGCTGAAGTACGGTCAAAAGGCTTTATAGCATTAGCTACTGCTTCTTGTGGAGTTGCAGCATCAATATTACCAGGAGGTAGAACAACACACTCTCGATTCAAGATTCCAATTGATATGAATTCAGCTAACATGTGTAAAATTAGTAAACAAAGTGCGCTTGCTAAACTAATTCAAGCAGCTAAACTTATCATTTGGGATGAAGCTCCAATGGCACACAAAACTGGTATAGAAGGTGTGGATACGCTACTAAAAGATTTAATGGGTTCTTCTGAATTATTTGGCTCAAAAATTATGGTTTTTGGCGGTGACTTTAGACAAGTTCTCCCTATTGTCAGTAAAGGTTCAAAGGAAGATTTTGTACAAGCTAGCTTAGTAACTTCATACATTTGGCCACAGCTTCATAAACTATACCTCACAGACAACATGAGAGCAATATCAGATCCAGAATTCACAGATTACCTTCTCCGAATAGGAAATGGACTAGAACCAGTAATACAAGGGTTAAAAGTAAAGATCCCTCTCCCACTATTGATACCATACAAAAATGAAACAGAATCAATATTTGAACTTATCAAAACAGTTTACCCAGATTTAACTGCTTTTTCCAAGAACGATTTTTCATTGGTAAATCGAGCAATCCTTACTACAAAAAATGAATTTGTTGATATGTTAAACAACTTGTTAATTAACATTTTTCCAGGTGAGGCTCAAGAATATATTAGTCGTGATAAAACACTTGACATTTCAGAACAAGGCCTATTTGAAGATTTTTAGAATAGCTTAACGCCTAATGGTTTTCCTCCCCATAATCTTATTCTAAAACCAAATTGCCCAATAATTCTTCTCAGAAACATTGACCCCCCTGAAGGTTTATGCAATGGAACAAGGCTAATATGTAAATCTTTAACTAACAATATTATTGATGCAGTTATAAGTGCTGGAGAATTCAAAGGCAAACAAGTCTTTTTACATAGAATATCTTTTCGAATAGAAAATAATCCTGATTGTCCAATGTCATTTGAAAGAGTTCAATTTCCAGTGCGCCTATGCTTTGCAATGACAATTAATAAGGCTCAAGGTCAAACCTTAGATTTTGTCGGTATATACTTACGTGAACCAGCTTTTTCACATGGCCAACTATATGTTGCTTTATCAAGAGCAAAAAGCAGCAATTGTGTAAAGATTCTTATACAGCCTTCTCCCTTTGATCCAACAGTTGACTATGCTACCAATAACATAGTATACAAACATATTTTACAGCTTGCAAATCATGATCCTTCATAATTATTGATTACAAGATTGTCAGATTCATATTCATTGCACTTATTGATATTCATAATCCACCAGCAATTCATGCTTAACTTTCTTGTACTAAAATATCTATTTTTTGATACCGCCTCAATATTTAAGCCAACTAATGAAAATTCTTGTATTAAAATATAGCATTAACTAGAGCTTATGCTTTGTTTATAATGCAAATAATGTTAAATCTTTCACAAATACTGCTCCATTTTTGAGTTAGAGGTTAGTGTTCATACATTTCATCTGCCCATATTACTAATTCTTGTAGTCATATATTCAGAATATTCATTATATATTAACATTACTCATTCTTGTAATTGTATGTTCAGAAAATTGATTACTAAGTGTTTATCGTTTTTGCAGTGAAAATGTATATAAAGATGAGAATTCTGCTTATCCAGAATATAAAATGTATAAAGTAGCACTGCTTATCCAGAATTTTATATTCAGAATATAAAATGTATATAAAGTAGCACTGGTATTACATAACTTAACTAAGGCTGTTATGTAATTCTTTATGTTTTAAACAGGTTGATCTATTCAATCAGAGATTCTGACCTCAAAACTAAGGCTGCTGAGTCAAATAAAGCAGCAAAGATAGATGCAACATCAAGTCATTATTGAAAGAATGTTTGATAAGTACGTAAACTTCTGAAACATTACATTTTACTATAGATTTCAAATTTTTCTCATTATCTCATTTTTCGACCTCCCTGTAGGTATATAATTAACAGAAGATATTGTATATTCAAAAAATTGATTACTAAGTGTTTATCAGTTTTGCACAGTGAAAATGTATATAAAGATGAGAATTCTGATGAGACTCAGAGGCAAGTAACTACATTACTGACCTCAAAGATTCAAAGACGCTTTTTTGTTGGAAGTTTTTGTTTTAAAGCCCACTTCTATAGACTACTCATCTCCTTCATTAATATTTTAGCATTCATTTTATCAGGTTATATAAACTGCATTTGAAGAATAGGAAGCATAAGTTCTTTTTGCTTTCATATGTATTCATTATTTATAACAAATCTTTATCTCCCCTCTCAGGTCTTTTGTTATTTGAATAAACTGAATCACTCATTGTTGTGATTCCTTGGAGCTGACGTTCTATTCAATGTATCAGAAGATGCAGATTATGTCTGGATTATTCCAGGTAGCATGTTATTATTGAATTTTGCTTTGTAAATTTGTTAAGTATTTCTATGTATTGCATCTATAACAAAATAAATCATGGTTAGATAAATACTGATTTTGCACTATAAAGTAGCACTGGTATTACATAACTTAAACTAAGGCTGTTATGTAATTCTTTATGTTTTAAATAAGTTGATCCATTCAATCATAGATTCTGACCTCAAAACTAAGGCTGCTGAGTCAAATAAAGCAGCAAAAATAGATGCAAGACCAAGTCATTATTAAAAGGATGTTTGATAAGTACGTAAACTTCTGAAACATCACATTATACTATAGATTTCAAATTTCTCTCATTATCTCATTATTGGACCTCCCTATAACTATATAATTAACATATGCTATTGTAATCATGTCTCTCACAATTTTGGCAGCTCTAGAAAATATCAATGTGATGTGATTATATCTATCCAACTACTTGAGATCTCAAAATTTGAAAAATTCTAACCTCAACTACTTTAATGATCCTTTATTGGGATTTCAAATAGCATTTAACCTTATAGAGAATAAATGCTGTCTTGAGAGACTTCTATATACTTGACATTGCAGCTGTCTCAGTATTTTTCCTTCCCGAACATATTCAAACCATTCAACAAGACGAGACTGTAAACATATTCTGTTGGCTTTGCTCGCTTTCTAGCTCATTGTTCTTCTCAGCTTCTTCTCACTCTCTCTGTCTCTGGTCCTTGCCCACAAGAAAAATGGCGTTTGGAGCCAGGAACGAGCATGAAGTCAGAGAGATCGTGAAGCCTCGCACCGACAAAAGAGACTACCGAAGAATCATTCTTCACAACGCTCTCGAGGTTCTCTTCATCAGCTATCCAGAAATTGATAAGGTACTAAATTTCAATCCATCCAGTTTCTTCTTTTTTACCCTGCTTAATTTCTTTTGTTGATTTAGTATTTACTGAATGTTGGAGTAGGTTTTTTTAGTGATCCAGAAGGTCTTGAAGGCCTCGCGCATTTTCTTGGTATGATATTTTGATTTATTTTCTACTTAAACAAAATTTTGGCTTTTCTTTGTTTCTTCGTTCAGCTTTATCATTTTCCTTAAATAATTTTGTGTCTCTTCATTCTCTAGGTCTATGCAGCTGCTACTGTCTTTCTTGTACCATTTTTTGAGAGGAAAGGAAATTTACTGAGGTGAACTTCAATTTCATTATTTTTGGGTTGTTTTCTTGTGTTGCTTAGGTAATTTCTTTTAACCATGTAATGCATCAGAATTCATAAAAACACAATAATTTTACAGAAATTTGAGGAAAGTTTCATGGTTTTAAGTATCTTTTACCTTGTTTCGCTTTCAATCTATATGTATGGTAAATCACCCTTGCCGGAAGTCATAAAAGATTTCCTATTTTGCTTTAAAATATTTGGCTATGGGTTCAACATCAATTTTACACTACAAGCTTCTGCTTTATCCCCGTGGTTTCCTTAATGCTTTATACAACTCCATTAAAGTGTATGTTTTGTATGTAATAATGCCTGAAATGGCCCAATTCAAACATGCTAATAGCATTATCCATGCTGTCACAACTGTGAACACATTACTATGCACCTACTTTCCTCATTCATTTATATGCTGCATAATGATAAAAGTAATTATCTCTATCTAATATTTTGTATTTGTTTAAACTGTCACAATTAACTCAGCAGAGCTACAAATTGGACTAAGTGTAGCGCAACAGTACTATAAGTTATTGACAGCAGCCATCTACAACAACAAAAATCACTAATGGCTTCTTGTCACAGAGTGAGATTGGTGGTGGTGGCAACTATTCAAAAACATAAACATTGGTATTCATCTTATTCCATTATGTAAAAAAGTACTTATTTTTATGTTTCCACTTTTCTACCTTTTTTAAAAAATCATCTCCTACAGGTTATTCACCATAGTAGCTACCTTAGTCTTGGTTTAGCAACATTAGGAACTCCTAATGAAGATATTTTCGATGATATAAAGAACGTCGTGTAAAAGCTTAATAAATTAAAAGCTATCATCTATTTCTAGAATTAGAAGCACGTTATGAATAAATATATGCATTGGCATTGGCTTACAGTAAAACTGCAAACAAGAAGACCATTTCACGCCTGCTACATTTTGATGCATCAGAATTAAGCAACAATCTTATGCAAACAGCAGTTTTGGCACGTAGTTAGTTTCTCTTATGTTCAAGCTTTGCACTTGCTTATCGTTTATCTTCTGGATTATAAGAATATGATACCAAACCTTTACTTCTCCAAACAAAATTTCATATTATGTATTTGCTCTTAACATTTTCTGACCATCTACAAGAATCAATGAAAATGCACAGATTCAATAATTCATCTAATTGAGTTGCTAACCTTAAAATACACATGTTATTGCTGAAGTCTTTAACATCAGATGTAATCGATTTTATTTATGAAGAAGCTTTTATAACAATGGCCTGAGTGATTCCCCTGTTAATGCATTCAGGTCATTGGAAAAAATTATTCTGGTTAAGCATGAGGATGCTATGAACAAGATGCATAAATTGCTTTGAAAGACAAAACATAACAAAGTAACTGCAGTTGTTAGTCTTACTATTTTTAGCCAATCTTGACTCCTCAAATTGTCTCCTTGCTTTCAATAACTACCTATGCTTTCATTAAGCAGGTTATAGATTGTAGCACATTGACCTCAAAAAAATTGACAATGACAGGCAGGAAATACAGACCATCTAAAATAAGACCCTATAACATCAAAAAGAACAAAAATTAAAATTATCAAGTATGTATACAAATAAGGACATTTAGGAGCGCAGAAATTTATGTACTCAATACCTCCCAGTTACAAAAAAAAAAAAAAAAGCCTTGTCAAACCATGTAGACAGAATCAGACTTGAAGTCTAAGACAAGTTGCAGACCATATGTACCCAAACATTGGCTATTAATATTGCAGAGCATATGTACCCAAAAACCACATTAAACAATGAGAAATCACATTAAAAAAGGGGAAAAAACCTTTTACTGGGAGGATTTCAACCAAAAAATGCCGAGCAGATAGTTGAAGTTCAATCAGCTGATTTAAAAAGATGCATCAAGAAATTGTACAAACTTCAACTTCGGCTATAAGAACAACACCGCAAACAAAAATTCCAGATTCTCACCTTGATTCTTCAGTTTGCAAATGACTCCAGTATCTCCTATCATCAATGCCTGTTACGGCCTGCCCATTCCACTACTTTTATCCAACCAGACCTTCTGCACAAAAATACATCAAGATCAATAACACAAGACAATATTTCATGTAATCTTGATTCCACAAATTATATCACAAAAAATCCTCTCTTGGAATAACAACACACAAACAAGGGCAAACCCAATAAAGAACCAATTTGTTTTTATCATTTCTATGTTCTTTTTAAACTAAAGATCAATACCAATTCAAAATAAAAAGCCCAGAAAACCAATAAACAAGTACATAGGCTTCATAACAAATTCTTGTACAACAATAGACATGGAACCCAAATTAATTTAAAATAAAAGAGAAGAACGTTGCTTAAGAAAGATCGAACCCTGGTGCCACCATAGAAAGATTTGGGTCTATAGAACCTAGAATAAATGTCTCTTTTACACAAATTTTTAGGAAAATCATCACAACCCTGTTTCCAACCATCATCTGCAACTCTACCAATAACAGAACCATAATTGAGAGACAACTTTGATTCCCAAACAAAATCAGCAGAAGAAGCCCCCCTAAAAGCCCTGTTCAACATTGCAAGTCCCCTAAGCCTAGCTTTGATACTAGAACTGCAGGGGTGTTTGTG